CTTTCAACGAGATCTCGGTCAGTTGCGGCTAAACATACCTTTAAGGATGCAGTATACTTAACAGGGATGTTATAATTAGGCTTGATATTTTCATATAATTGTTCTGAACTATAGTAAACTATATATTTTATTAAAGTTTTTATTTCACACTTCCTAAAATTCGGGGTCATTTCGGTAGTTACTTTAATTTGGAGGTTCCTATGAGTATGTATTTTTCACGGCGGTAAAGCTGTCCAATCGATCGGCACCCCTCATTCGTACCCCTCTCCTGTCGATAAGAGTACAAACAAACTCGCGAGCACTGCGTTTCACTGAACCATCGATTCGACAATTATACTTATAAATGATTAACAAGTCCATGAGAATGCTCTCCAACAAATTGACTAGCCAGGTAAGCCGGAAATTAGAGTGAACAGTCTAATCCTCTAGACCATGTTTATTTCGTGACGGAAATGTGCGTGTAAGTATAATAATCTCGGGAGATGGATGAGTATCCGTTCATTATTTTAGAAAACAACGTATTTATCGTTCAACCGCGGTCAGCTAGCGGATATACAACATTAGTTAGTTATTTTATCTTGGTTATAACTGTCTTCCTTGAATCCCAGTGATTACAATTTATAGAAAATATCCACCTTTCACAGTGTTTCCTAATTTAGTATAACACACAACTTTTTTTGTGCGTGAATCATTAATGTGTATTAAATTTTGTTGCAATTATGCAAATCATACAGACTGTTAAAATTAAATCAATGCGCAAGAAAGCGTCTCTGTCGTCATGTCGCGTCCTCTTTAATATGCGACATTTACAACGCATGTAAAATTAAAGGGTGGTAGTCGCCGTGCCACGCATGTGCGACATATATGGGTCTCACATAAACAAAGATGGCGACTTTGGTTGTTGCGCAGATCAACAAGTACAAACTGAGACGTTACCAAGCTTTAATTAGGTATTTTTTTAGGTGATGGGAAGGTCAAACCTCATACTTGTGATTCCCATTAGAAGAGCGCATTGGATTGTGTGAAAATCAATGTTTATCAACACAAATGTTGCACATGCGCAGCGTGGCGACCACCGCGCTTTAATTGTTTGTTTACACGTGATTCGAACGCACACTGCGTTTCGACTAGGACCGTTATAAGTCTTTCATATGCATATTGTAATTCGAAAATTTAAAAAATAAACATGTTTACAAAACCGACAATCAGTTCTAAAATTAGACTCCAAGTGCGTATTGTATTGTATTGGTACGTTAGTGCTTGGTGCTGGTGATTCTGAATAATGAGCTGATAGATTGAATCTTGAGACTATATCAACACCAGTGAATCTTTCTAACCAAGAATATATGTTAAATAACAAGACTGTTGACATGCTTATGACGTCAAACTTGAACGCTGGTTGGTGATGTTGTGTGAATCTAAAAACGAATATTTGTAATAATTCTACCTTTGCATCATAATCATAGCTTCACGTGTTCTGGTTGGATTTCATGTGCTCTTGGTATATTTGCTCAAATTCTGTCTCACTCCGAGAATCAAGAGTCAATGCAAAGTTATTTACAAGACTGCACCTGATTGGCTACATCAATCTAAGACCTAACAGTTAGACCAATCAAATATACCAACTCGATTGTCACACCCGGCGTCACCCTTTTATTATATGCATGTGTTCGGTGAATTAGACAAATTATAATAAAATGTCTAATGTTCAAATCTGAACAGAATGTCGCTACCAACAAATCATTATGAATTATAAAAAAAAACATTCTTTTAAAAAATTATTTCACCACAATGTGCATACCTGATTATTGTTTTGCAATGGCTTGTAATTAACTTTCAATTAAAAATACGTACCAACATTAATCATCATTATATTTTTAAATTACGTGGTCATTCATAATGAATTTATAACTGTTTATATTTGAACGGACCGTGAATCTAATCACAGATCAACCATTAAAAGTTGTTTCATTGGATCTTTGCAAAAAAATTTACAATTCATGTATCTGCTTCGTAAATAAATAAATGTATGCAAAATAAAAATTACAGAATATGAAGAGACATCGTTGTTTACAAACAGGCGTCTACCCATGAGCCTTTGCGTTTTTAGCGTGCGTTGGTATCGTCGCTTGGGACTCAATTATCGCGCGTGCGCAGGTGACGACCCCTCCGCTTTTAGTAACACTGCGTGAAATGTCCCAGAACGAAAGAAAATAAATTTATAGTCAACTCATAAGTTGACTGATATTCCTTGTTGTGCAGTTTTCAATTCGAATTCAACAGTTTTAATACCAATTGTAAATATACAATGGCTTTACAATCTCAATACTGCTAGTATTACCCTTAAAGCGCGGTGGTCGTCGCGCAGCGCGTGTTCAAATTTCATGTAAACAAACAATGTATTTTATACGCGTTGTATACGCTAAAGCTACAGCTTGGAAGAATTAAAAGAGTACTGCGCTCTTGACACTACTAATATTATGTGACATATTTGATGGTGGGATGCATTATGGGAAATACAGCGACCAAATTCTAATGCTTTTTAGCGCTTCCACCTCTACATTTGATTGCATGACCCACAAATCATGGCCAATCTTTTTCTCCCGGCAACGCGCGCAATTTAAACCATCAAATATTTCACGAAATAGTCCAAAGACCCTAATAAATCTTCCCGAGTGTAACTATGAAAAGGTGTGTTTTTTTTTCATCGTGAAATGATTGAAGGGTATGATTCATAAGTCGATGATATCACTTGTTAGGTAAAGTGCACTCAAACCTCTGGGACACTTCCGGTGTAATAAACAAAATTATCATTGACGAGGCTAATGGATTTCTGATTGTTAGTGTTAAGGTTGCTAGATATAACACCTCGTCAACTTCAGAGCCCGAGAAGGATCGATATATATAGATTGCGTGACATCTATTGAGAATTCAGCAAATCTGTGACGTGAATCACTTGAACGTGGCTTTCATAGTCAGAAAGACAATCATCTGTGCGTACAGTCGCGTAGTAATAATACTAATCTTTATTGATAAACGTATTGTCATGAATTTGTTTTTGCGTATCTGTTAACCGACTTAATTAACTGATTATTAGCGAATTGCTGTGTTATGTCTGTCATCGTTTAGGTCTATTTGAAGTTTTGGACGGAACATGGCTCAGTGATTTGGAACTAATTACAAGATACCGTCGCTATTCTGACATCCGTAGTTATTAATGTAGTGAACGATTAATCAAAAGATATGACGTATTCAGTACTTAGTGTGATTGGCTTTATGATTGAAGGTTACGCCCTAGAGTCTTTTTACTGCTTTGTAATTGGTTAGAGTTTTGAAAATGAATAAAGAGAGTTTGAGTTGGTCTTGGCGAATACTCCACGACAGACGCAGTCCTGGAGAGACTTGGGGCGAGCCTTGACGCAGTCTAAGAGAGTCTTGGGTCAGCCTTGCGATATAGTCTTGGGGACTTTTCCCCAGGGCGCTGTGTCTTATAGAGTGCTCCAAAAGATCGACTAAGACGAGAGTTGAAACGTATTTCGTTGTGTGTGTCTTATTTGACTGTAAAGTTAAAGTGACTTTCCCGATCCCGTACCTCAAGGGGACGAGATAGAGAGACGAGACGAGTTTTCCCCCTGGCAAGTGTGGGAGACCCCGAGAGAAAGAGAATTTCCCCCTGATAGTATCCTTAATTGAGATATTGTTCGTGATACAATAAAGTTAAGTGATGAAACTTAAAATGAAAAAAAAAAATAAGGGAAAAAAACAAGAAGTTATGAGGCAGCTGGTAATTTTGATTTAATGAAGTTTTCTCTCAGCTTTGGTATACAAATTTGCCTAAATTAATTAACATATTTCTGTCTTTTGTTTTAAGTATATTTACTACTTTTTTTCTTTGTTTCGGTGTTGCAAGAAATTTGTTTAGGCTGTCTTTTTAATGCATCATAGTGTGAGCACGTTAGGAGGAAATGTTTTCCATCCTCAATCTCTCCATTCTGGTAAATTTGACCTTTTCTTTCTTGTAAGGCGTGGTTTGTGTATCTGCCCTTCTCAATTTGTAGAGTATGTGAATATAGCAGCAAAACATGATTTCAGCTCACCTAAAAAATTGGCATACAATTCGCCATTCTGCATACCTGACTTTAGTATTACAGGTGCTAAGCCACCTGTTAGAGTTTAAAAATGCACCATAGACGGAAACACATATATCGTTGTTAGATATGGCATCTAATATCAGTGTTATCCATATTATATCTTTAATGTCACATACTGTCATCACTGATTGACGGAAATAGCTGTGATTTTTAACCTTTTTTAGTTAAAAGTAATTACATAGAATGATCAAACCTCACCGAAATATTGTTTTAGACACAATTGTATGGACGAAAGTGATCCTACACAAGGCCATGTGAATACTAATGGCCGACTAGTCGCCATTGTTGAAATAGGTCACGTGACGGGGATTCCCCCTCCCCCCGGGAAGTTGTACTATCTTGCACCGTAATCCATGAGGTTCGCTTGACAAAGCTTAAAATGCATCGGCACTCTTTTTTCACTTGCAAGTGATTTAATGTATAACATTAGAATATAGCGTAAATGTTATGCATTTGGCGTTCATATTTCGGCGACGGTCTTTAAAAATTAATACTAATGACACAAGAATGACAAATAGAAATCGGAGAAAAAAAATAGATAGTTACAGCTACTGTCACTTTAACAGTGGTTGCTATTTACGAATCTACCATCACACATTTTTCAACTAAATAAATAGTGTTAGGCCGTCCGTTTAAACGCGTCGGTACTATTTTAATTTCAGAATGACCATCAAATGTTATTTCCACTAATTTTTGTCAATTTTTCCGATCTACAATATTCATCTGCCAAATAAATTGTTTAAACGTTCGCAATTATTGAGTATTTCTTGAAATTTGAAAACAATTCACGTAACCACTATTTTAATACCCTTACTTTTAATTAATCTTTATCTTTTTTTCTCCTGAAAGATGGAACTGAGCAGACCACAACTCCTTTGCATCGTGGCTATCTCACTGCTGCTGTTGAGTACCCATCTAAGCTACGGTTATCCTAGCAACGAACAAGACGTTGGTGATGAGGCTGGCATGGTGATGGACGATAAGCGTGCGGGTAGGCACTTCAAACACAAGCCAGACGGTATGTGCCCGAACAACTGCCAAGGATGCTGCACTATTAAGTGCCTTCTCTCGAAATGTCGAAAAATACTGCCGTTCTAGATACTATGGCAACGTAACTAGATAGAAGATATAGTGGTTGCTTCTTAAACTTTGGAATTATTATTACTTCAGCGTCAGTGTGTCTATCTATCTTCATCCGAGGCGCAGTCACCCGGGCAACCACATCACGTTGGCAACCAGTATAACTGAAAACAGCATCGCAATGAGTGACATTATTTCTCACATCGCTTACGTTTATTTTTTGTCATCACCTTTTTTGTATTTATATATTTTGTATGGTGCCGCTAAACGTAATGTTCTAGTTAGTACCTCGTTAATAATACCTGTAATTAGTTGGTTGTAATAAAATTACGGTGATACCCGACAGTTGTTGTTGTTGTTGTCGTATTATAGTCGTGTAATGATTGCCCTCTAACTAGAATCATTCTCAAAGTACTTGGATGTTCCGATGCGATGCGCCAATACTGCGGAAGTAAAAATGATTGAAAACCCCAATTAAAATCAGATCAGGCCGTGGATCGTAAAGCTGGCTTGAAAACATAGTTACCATAAATTCCCACGGGCGCTTGGCATGTTTCATCAGTGAATTTTGCTCCAAAGTCGGTTGTTTATCCGACTTTTAATTGCTAGTATGTCCTATCTAGTATGTATAGGTATGTGATGATATACATATCTCAATGATCTCGTAAACAAGCTGAACAACTTAAGGCTTTACTAAGTCGGGGCTTGCAAACACCGTAGCTGGCAAAACACAGTGCCCTCTGTAGACGAACGAAGTGATACAATTGGTATAATAATTTAACGTCAAAATTACAGCACTGGTTTTATTTTATTATTTGATACATTTTCAACGAATTCTTTACCACAGTGTTAAGGGAAGGTAGAAAACTATTCAATTACACCAAGGGAGCATTTCTCGTGCACATTTCCTGTTATGTTGGTTTCGTATACAACCGGGGACAGAATAGTGTGTCCGTTACATGTCAGTGTCTCCGGATTCATGCAATATACGAATGATATATACTGAGACATGTCATCTCACTTTCCAACTAGTTCATTAGCCAGAGCAGAAAAATGGCTAATCGGTACCTTATTGGGCAGCAAACGCTACCAATAATTTTCTGGGAGCATTTTTAGTGTAGAATACGAATATGGTGAATTTCCAATTTTGCTTCTCGTTTATATAATTTCAAACTGGCCGACCAATTAAAAAAAATTGTATTATTTTCATTTACATGATGCAGTGTATTAAACTATATACATGTGTAGACGAAACATGGGAATTTCTTTATTAGAATACATTAGAATTCAAATATCTGGACGGAAATATTTTGCCGTAATTAGATTCTAGCTGCATCATATAGAACGGGAACAGGAAGAACCAAAAAACCCATCCTACCGCAAGTAGAGAAAAGTTATTGTGTAGATTAACATGCCCAGTCTTTTTGGTGGTATCTATATGAAATAAAACATGTCATAAAATAATTATCATTTATCGCTTTGGGGAAAATAAAACTAAATTTAGACAACAACCAGTTGGGTATGATGGCATGTGATGAGCGGGCTGCAGTTGTATCAATCTGATTAAAATCTGATGTATAGTACGGCGTGTATTTTATTTTATTTTATATATTTATTTATTTATTTATTTTACTTTTACTATTTTTTAAAATTCTTTTGTTCATTGTTTTATGTATTTTGTTATGTATTTGTGATTTGGTATTTATTTAACTATCGCCACATACATCGCCATTGTGGGCTTTCGCGATTACAAAAACGCTTAGAAAATCCCAGAAAATAAATGATGAATTGAAATAAAATAAAGTAAAGTAAAAAAAATGTATAATAAAAAAAAAATAATAAACACAAATTTAAAAAAGCCCAAACTAAGATCTTATTTTAATCAGATTGCTGTAGTATTAGAATCCCGAGTGGTAAACGAGAAAGATAGGCTTTAAGATTCAAGTGAAGCGCTGTTGGAAATTCCATATTATTAGTAAGGTTCTGCACTTGGATATTATGTGAATTGTCAACACCTATATCTTCATGACATACGCCTTGATACGCGGTTCATAATGTCACATAAATTACTTTTTATCTAGTTAATTTAGACATTCAACATGTTAATTTTCACCCAATTTGCCATTTCTATTTCTAAATTAATCGCTTGTTTTCATAAGAGTTAACATGTCTGGCGAGTGAATTTGGTTTGGTTAAGCCAACGGTAGCATATATATATAACACATCGGGCATGAGGCACCAAATACAAAATCAGTACCTTTCTGAAGAGTTTAGTCTAGAGCCATTGATTATATCAAAAGTACCGTGACAGTTTTTTCTGCTTCCCGAAATATGAGTAAGGACTCCCCTTACTCTTGGAGAACTCGTGCCGTTATATGTCACGCTGGGAGAACACTGCCTTTACCAACCAAGTCAGACAACGACTGGGCAATTAGCAGATGAGTCCTGTCTTTCATTTTTGCTGATGCCTTTGTTAAACCAACGTGTGAACCTTGTTAGTGATGAGAAGCTGCTTCAAATTCATTTTAAGACAATGGATTTAGACAATATCCAGGTATGCAGAGTGGTTGATTCGAGAACCCGACTATGTCTGTTACCAAGTTATGGTATATTTTAACAAGAATAGAATCAAACTGTTCTATCTAAAAACATTATGAATATTGTTAGGGAAATATTAGCTCGAGCAATAACAAACATGTTCTATTTCGCCCCAAAAATGTTGCTTCGTAGCACTGTCCATAACCCCCTCCCCTGTTTGATCTTCTATTGGAGCGGCTAAGGTGAGCTACCAGGGGCAGGTATCGTAAGTTGTAACAATACCTCGTATAATATACCTGACAGCCCGACTCGCATATTAGGTAACACAGTGTCTCAGGGAATGTACAGGCATCTATGTGGTACCACAAGACTAACATTCTAGGGTGTTTTGCCACTTTCTTTTTACTTATGTGCGGCTCCAACCACAATTCTGGCTGTACCATTCGGCGTTCGCTTATATTTAATATTTAAGTCCACATTCAATTGGCCAGTGGTGGCGCTGTTCTATACTTCTTATGCCGCTAATTCATAACATGACGACGACGACGATGACGATGACGATGACGACGGAGTTTTGCGCTGTGGCAGCAGACTTCACAACGCAGATGTGAACTTTACTACTAAATTTCCTGCATTGTTACCAAGCAAACATTACTTTACTACGCTACTTGTCCGCCGCGAACATGAACGTCTACACCACAGCGGTACACAGGCTGTCGTGACTGCTATTCGTCAACAATATTGGATTACGAACATCAGACAGACTGTTAATTACATTATTCGACGCTGTGTCACCTGTAAGCGAGTCGACGGTAAACCCTACAATACGCCATGACACTTGAGGCGGGAACCAGCCAACCGGACAGTACTGTTAAATCTCCGCCCCCAAGACCGCCGAGGAAAGCTGCAATAGCAGCGCGAAAGTTTGTCCGTGACATTATAAAGGACTTGTAAAATATATTTGAACACTTGTCACAATTTTGAATAATTTATATATACCTTGAGTTTTTGAAACGTGTATTGTGTTATTGATTTCTCTCAGGAAAATATTCGATCTGTGAATCAGAATATTTCTTGTGCCCGCCCCCAGTATGTGGGGAGATTCATTTCAATTATTGATCTTTTATTCATAACCATGTTTTCTTCGTATTTCATTTTTTGCATGTAATGCTATGAGAAACTAGCACACCCAGTTGTAATTTGGCCAATATGTGTTCCGAACGTCGGAGTAAACACCGTATTCGTCATCGGGCAATGAGAACGCCTCCCGCCCTACAAATTGTTACTTGACGCGATATTGACAATTGGCAACATTGTATGTTTTTGCGCTCGTTTTGAGCAGTTGCTTTCCAGATGTTTACGAGTTAACATCTGTTTAACGTTGTTGTTGAAGAATAAACGAGATTGAGTTCCAGTTACATGACGTGTCCGTTTCAGTGTTCACTTCCGTGACTGAGAAGATCCGAACCTTCCCTTCCCCCACAGGGCTCGAAGGATACAATGCGTTTCAAATCGAATGTGGAATTAAATAATATAAGCGAATGGTACAGTCAGAATTGTGTACATATATAAGATACATTTAGACATAGTTATTTAAAATAAATGTATTTTATTGTCATTATTCAAACAAATCGTCAACATTTAAAAATTGTCATCAATCATGGCTTATCTCACACTTTTACCTACCGCCCTTGACACAAATTGCAGGTCACGTGTTCTATATGGCGAACACCTTGGTCAGCTTGGAATGTGTCATACCCCGTCTCAATCTCCCAGGCAGAGTTCTATTTCTACGAATATATACTTTCTGGGAAGGAGAATGACCCCGTCTATTAATATGGAAAGCTGGGTGAAAGCGTCCTACATTCGAACGTTTTCAAAAAGCGCGCGGCCACGTCTTGTACGCGCTAGACGTACGTTTTCTAAAACTCAGAGTCTGAGCAAGAAGCAAAACCACTATATCATGTATATGTACGAGTTCGAGTCAAAACATGTCACCACCGACGGTAATGCTCGTAGTACTGTTTTATCATTTCTAGAATGTTACTAATAACTTATTTTGTCCAAGAAGGAAAATATTCATGTATTATTTCTAGTATTGTATTAACCCAGGCACTTTTGCCTACCGCCCTTGGTTGGGCCAATCAAATTGTCGTTGTTGGCGTAATTTGATTTGACGTCATATTTTGAGTTTTCGGTATTTTGATCTCATGTACCATAATATCGTACTAGGTTACGGTATATAACCTCGGACATTCTAAAACGCTTATTGTTCAATTCATGAAAGCCTTGATACAATGATATATCAAAGGTGGGTAAGAGATAATGCTATGTAACTGACAAGCGGGGAAACCACATGGGCTTGTCAACTGACGATTACAAGTCCCCGTGGGTGAAGATACTCTCCGTGCATCGACTGAGTTGGACGTTGGTGGTGTTCATGCCAAACTGATGTTCGGAGATGATAGCAATAACAATCTTAAAATCACGTAATGGGGATTCATATTACATTTGTCATGAATTGTGTCACTTATGGTTAGCTTTCAACAGTTTTCTGAACACTAATTGATCTAAAAAAGATCATTTACAGTAACTTTTCGATTATTTTTCCAAGCTCTTGCTCGTAATTGTCGAATCAATCACTAATCATAAATACCCCACCTTATAGTGATTTATTCACCATAATACTTTTTACCATAGAAACACTTGCAGCATGGATATTTGAACTATTTAATGTAAAAAAAACATGGGTCATATCAGAAGTACATTACTTGGGGTTTGCAACTACGGTGACATGATACCAAGATCCCGTCACAATCTCGCTCTCGCATAAGCGTTCCAACTCAGAAAAATGCGAATGCGCATGCCCGAGGTAACTAGTATACTGGGATGTCACAATACAGTACTATGCGAGTTGCAAACCCCAAGTAATGTACCTCTGGTCATATGTTTTTTGTCTGAGTTTTTCGAGGAAAGGAAATCTCGCGATAAGGGCACGTTTCTTGTGGCAGTAATTTACTATCAGTATAATTTATTCACAGTTTGGAAAGAATCGAACGGTAACTAATTTTTCATTTTCCAGGCATCGACAGATTTCAACTTGAACCGTTGGTCGTGTGGTTGAGGCCTTGAGGGTGCAGTACCAGTTATTTGGCGCGTTTAGTCGATGCTTGGAGAATGTTAATTGAGGGTCGGCAAGGGGTATTTTCGTAAGCTGTAAACAATTGTTTTTATTTTCGTAATAATGTAATTTAAATAAAGAAAACACGTAAATTCGTAGGCATGGGCAAGGTGAAAAATGTAATCAGCTATTTTAGTCGTCTGTAATTTGTACTAAGATTTTATTTCTTGTAAGCGTATAAAGCATTTTCCACATTAAATGTCGTAATTCGTACGCAATTTCCAATTTTGATTCTTAAACACAAGTTATCAAATTATATTATAAAAATGTAATTAGGAATTTGCTTTATCTGTAAAGTGTAAAACTTATTTTTACTGTAAATGGAACTTTCATTTTATTTACTGTAAAAATTTAAAATGTCTTTTTAATTTCCTGTAACCTGTACCAGCTATCCCCCCCCCTTGCCCCTCCCCTTAATTTTTAGGGCTAAGTATGTCTAATGATTCCGATAACGATGACGCGTAGACGCGCGCGTGATTTACTGCAGGCGTTCGAATGAGAATACTGCCGAACGCTAGCGCGTGCCGGGAGCGCGTATTAGGTCGTTATTTAAATTTCATCTCTAGCACTCTCATTTTAATGTTCTACTTGCAAAAAACTATTGTATAATCAATGAAAATTTAAAAACATTATGGGTCCTGCGAAATATTTACTCTTCTATGGAGTTGCGACATCGCTTGTGCTCACCTCTCGCCCGGTTGATGCGTACCTACGACAGCCATTGCTGCCATCACGAATGCTAAGATCAAGTAGCATCTTGCTCCCCCGAGCAGGGAAGAGAATAAAGCGACAGGGAAATTATGGCTACCATCCGACAAATTACAATGCAGAGGGATACGAACATGGTTTACCGGTAAATACCGTAGATTCTCCTATCGCGCAAGACGCGATTGTAGACAATCAGTACGAATCGGATGGTCGCCTAAAACCAATCAGTATCAACAATGATTTTGACTACAACTACAATCAAGGCGGCACACCAAATCAATATGGGAATGCCCAAGTATACGACCCCGTTAACGACTATGCACAAAACAACTGGAACCAGATAAGTAAGTGCTATGAAATAATAAATAACTAGTAGCTGGGAAAATTCATTCGTTACATATATTAAATCTCAGGTCTGAGATTATAGTGAATTGTGAATGTTTTGAAAGCATACAAATAGGGAAAACCAGAGGCGAATTATTTGAATTTTCGGCCCCCTATAGTGACCATGGAGGGGCCTCACGAATGTTTCGATAACTGATAACGGCTAACGGTAATTACATGTAACGACCTGCTTGCTAGAACCGAGACCACAAACAGGCCGTCAACTAGCGCTAGCGCCGAGTTGTTTTACTTTTAACAAAATAATATTACAAATTTTGGCGTATTTTAGGTGTTTTTTTTTTTTTTTTTTTTTTTTTGCAACACCATTGCGAGATGTAATAATAATAATGCCTTTATTGAAATTATATCCTGTTCAGGATCTGGATTTTTAAAATACAATAAACTTTCAGATACATACAATATGGCAAGACAAAATACAAAATACGTGTGTTACGTAACTCTTTTTTGTATAGAAGGACAATAGACCAATGACGTGTAAAAATGGCACCTGATTCAACCTCAAAAAAAAAAAAAAAAGTACTTTCTCAGTAAAAACTTCTCTTCTGAAATCTAATAATGGCTTGTATTTGTTTAATTCAAGACAACGAGCAAAACTACAATTATAACGATCTAGTGGGCCGTCCGACAGGACAGCCATTCCGTGACTCGCAATTCACACCACTTGGTGCTGGCGAACCTATTGGACCCGATGTTGTTAAGGACAGGATGGCGAAAGATTACGCTGCCTATTTCAGTGACTTCGATGGTAAGTTTAAAATCACGTGATTATCATATTTGCTGAACGTCATTTTAATACTAGTAGTTTCAAAGTGTTTTGTCTCGTTATAAACGAAGTTATTCATCGCCGGCCGGCGTTAACAATTTATATATCGCCATCTATCGGCAGACACTTATCAAAAAATACGTTTGTTTTTATTTCAGACACAATAGCTTTTGAGCAGCCGAAGGTGTACGACAATTGCTGGCTGCAGGCCATGTTAGCAGTGGAATGGGGCTTCTCACCAAACTGTAACGAAGATGGCTCATATGGTCCTAAACAATGTTTGAAAAAAAGGTCAGCTTAATAGACCGCTTTCTCAGAAGTAATTAGACTGGGTGCAAGCACAACACCTGCCTTTTTCATGGTGCAAATACAAACATGCCAGTCTGTTGATATTCATTAAAAAAAAAATATTTTTTTCATGTCAATTGGTACACCCGCAAGTTTACAATACACCCCAAAACAGTATGCACTCACATGTAGAATGCTGTATGTTCGACTTCCTGGAAAGTAGTCTTTTAAAATTTTATAACTACTGTGCATGTTGCTGCACATATGTGCAGTGCATTCTGGGAGAAAACGTCCTGTTGTATATAACAGAAGGCTCATTATTATTAATACTGGTTTGGCATCCCACTACATTGACATTGGTGTCCAATACACTGGTGTAGTTCTTTATGTGTTCTGCATCACAAATATGGCATCTTTTCATTCTCACTGTTCTGTAACAGTGGCATCCCACTGCTCAGACTATTGTGCCATTTCAGCACTTTCATACCAGTTACACATTATACTCGATATATAACACACATGTTTATTTCTTACCTTGACAGATGCTGGTGTACCAGCCTAGCCGGTGAAAAGTTACATAATAAAGGCGGGAAAAACAACGACGGATTCTATTATGGCGTGGATGCACTGTTATTGAGATGCAATCAAAACTAAGACACTTTTAGAATATTCAATTAATTTTTAAAATAAAACAATCTCACAAAATCAATGAAAACATGCATGTTTAATGTGTGAATGAATGAATCCGATGTTGGTGCCGGGGATGGAATGTGTTCGATTAGCTTAATTATTATTTTGACAAAAGTGAAATACCTCACGTCATCCAAGTAAGACACAGCTGCTATAAGATTATTTACATTTGGAATTTACTTTTATTGGAGCCTTTGGTAAGCAAAAAATGCATACTATGAACAAATGAAAATCAGAAGTAGTTTAGAAAGAACTCCCTGTAGGTATTGGAAGCATGTGAAGTTCACATTCTATTTAAGCGTCTCAACTCCTATGTTTAGATATTATCACTGATGAGGATAAGATTAATAGTTCTAAGTTTTGGATTCGTCAAATCTTATAGAATATGCCTGTGAATTTGTAGAATGTCACAAAATGAACTAATCTTATGGAGGTCCACCCAAGGAACTTATGTACCAAGTATAAAAGCAATAGAGTTCATGTTTTCAGGAGGAAGTCGTTCAAAGAAAAATTTGAAGCAGGATGCTAACAACGGACAATCACCTATACAAACATCTTCAATGACAGCATAACTAATAATAGAGAATAGATATTTAATATTGAGATGTTGTTTTATTTTCAGATTGTTAGCCATGATCTCACATATGACCCATCAAAGAAAACAATGTACAAGTCATAATATAAAATTATAATGTTTACAGCTGCTTTTGGAATTTATAATGTAAACGACCTTGGTCAATTTTTAAAAGATAATACTGTGGAATACTTTATTTTCGCTGGAATTAATTTTCGCTGAAAAGGCTTTTTGGGCGTTTTGATTGGAATTTATTTTCACTGATTTTTGATGAGATTAATGTAAAATATAGGAAAAAATGTATATTCGCTGGATTTTATTTTCACGGAATCATCCCTTTAGCGAAAATAGCGAAAAATAAATTCCAAGCGAAAATAAAGTATTCTACAGTATATTTGTGGTAAATAGGCAATGACAAATTATAAACACAGTATAGGTAATATAACTGTAAACACACATAGTGAAACAACATGTATTGTACAGAACTGTAAATGAAAATACACGACCGAGTAAGAACTGCTTTCCATGACAACAACATTTTTTCTTTTATATTTATATACAAATGAACATATTTCTGTCAGCCATATTTAGTATTCGGTTGTATACAAATAAGAATAAATAACACATTTCATAAGCAATCTATTCGGTGCGATAAAACCAAACAATAAAAGAAGTTGAACATTAGATGTCACTTTATTTTGCTGATTAAATTATAAGTACACAGTGATCTTGATTAAAAAAAAAAAATGAAACTAAAATTGTATATTATACATGTCATTAACACATGTATTCATATACGGTTATTAAACAGACACACTTGCATTTTGTAAACACAACACACAATGTAGTACATTCATACTGTACCACCCACCACATCCATGTAATACAATGTATCTAAGACAATTGAATCAAAACAAATATTAGATAATGATATCATCACCACATATGCAAGCAAAGGTTTTCTAGTTTGCGTTCAATTTCTATTTTCTGTGAGAATTTGTTTTTAAAGACATATCTATATGTGAAACACTGCTTTCTGTTTTTATGACCAACAGACTTGTATTATTTTTTTTTTATTATTCTCATGACCATTATTAAATTACCTTGGTATAGACGATGACACACCTGATAACATAGCTGCAGTCACAGGTGTATTTATCCCAAACAATATTTTTCTATCACACGATAATTTCACTTTTGAACCTACTAATGATACTTTCCTAGTTTTGGTAACAACGAGGAATCAAATTTCAAAACTGACATATGTGACTTTTGCTACAAATATTAAGTTCAGTATTCCAAAATTACTGAAAATCTATATGATGATTATAGCTTGAGCATACTATGATCAGATTGGCAGAAACAAGTCAGCCAGTTTAGAAAAGATAGTAGAGATTAACCACTATCCATCTTGGTTCGTGGTTCATAGATTTGCATATTAATTAATATAGAACTACCAGTGTATAAAAGCAATGAAATAGCTTGGCTTGTGTATGTGATAATAATAAATGAAACAACTTAGTACTCTTCATACAATAGTTCCTCCTGTTTATGAACGTATTCTAGCAGTTCTGTTCTTTTTCCATCATCTTTAATCGTATGAATCCAATATTGTACACAACTATTCAAGCAGTTTGTCAGTCGGTCATTCTTATACACCTCCTTTAGCACAAACTGGACAAATGGTGCTTGTAGATGTTCATATCGGAATTCACCCAAAGATTTCAAAATTCTAGTGATTCTTAAGTAATTATGCATAGACCTGAAAATATGAAATAAAATGTTCATTATTTTAATTGTCACATAGAGCGTCATTTAATGACTTTTTGCCTGTATTGTAACCACTCCACACTGGTCACCATATCACCCACACTGGTGACAATATCACTCCACACTGGTGACAATATCACTCCACACTGGTTACCATATCACTCCACACTGGTTACCATATCACTCCACACTGGTTACCATATCACTCCACACTGGTTACCATATCACTCCACAATGGTTACCATATCTCTCCACACTGGTGACCATATCACTCCACACTGGTGATCATATCAATCCACACTAGTGACCATATTACTCCACACTGGTGACCATATTACTCCACACTGGTGACCATATTACTCCACACTCGTGACAATACCACTCCACACTGGTGACCATATTACTCCACACTGGTTACCATATCACTCTACACTGGTTACCATCACTCCACAATGGTGACCATATCACTCCACACTGGTGACCATATCACTCCACACTGGTGACCATATCACTCCACACTGGTGACCATATCACTCCACACTGGTGACCATATCACTCCACACTGGTGATCATATCAATCCACACTGGTGATCATATCAATCCACAATGGTTACCATATCTCTCCACACTCGTGACAATACCACTCCACACTGGTGACCATATTACTCCACACTGGTTACCATATCACTCTACACTGGTTACCATCACTCCACAATGGTGACCATATCACTCCACACTGGTGATCATATCAATCCACACTGGTGACCATATCACTCCACACTGGTGACCATATCACTCCACACTGGTGATCATATCAATCCACACTGGTGATCATATCAATCCACACTGGTGACCATATT